TTTTAATCTCAGAGTCCTTGTTTTTGTTCAGCTTGTCATTTCTGGAAGTTTCAGCAAATCTAGCATCAACGCTGAAGACAGCCTAAATTATTCAACTCATAAGCAGGGACATGGCTGATGGGGAGTAACTGCCGGGGGAGCGCGCGCACGTGTGTGTGTGTGTGTGTGTGTGTGTGTGTTGGTAAAAGTCAGACGCAGCAGTCTGTTTTAAATGTAGCATGACAGGCTTATTTTTTCTGCAGCCTGGCAAAGACAGACACAAAACTGAGTTCACTAAAACCCAAATAAGAAATAATTGGTATCCAGTTTGTCACTTTAAGCGTCTACATTTCTGTTTTGTTTTTTTTCTTCTTCTGACATTTCCCATCTGACATGATCTCTCAGGGGTGACGGAAAAAGTCTGGCTCAGGCTCCTGCTTGTAATGTCACTGGTGCAGAAATTAAACTTATCTCACATTTTTTTAATCGTGTCTCATCTCACAGCTGTACATTCTGTGAGGGGAGGAGCAGTCTGTGCACAGTTGGTGAAATAAATACACTTCTCAAGTTTCAAAGATACATAAAAGAGGCAATTTCACAAGGCTTAAATGGATCTAAAAGGGCCCAGAGTTATGATGTTGGATTGTCTTGAGAGGATTTTCCACTGAAGTAGGAAGAAAATCTGCCGGACTTCACCTCCACTCTTTAATCTTGCACCTCCTCCAAACTAAATATTTAACGAAACATAAAACGGCTCAGAAATCTTCAAATAAAAATAAAAAAGGATGTACAATATCAATCAAAGAATATCCTAAATGTTTGTGTAAGTGCTTTAAAAATTGTGAGGATGCTGAACTGAAGTGATTCTCATTAAAGATGAACGTGCAGAGAAGACGCCAGCGTTTGTGTTTTCCTGCCATCCTCTGGTCAAACCACAAAACTACACTCTGTTTACCATCAATGAGTGTTTAAAACACAACAAAACCTCCCTGTTCTGATCAGTACCTACAGGTGAAGTGGATATGGAAGCTGTTTTAGCTTTTAGTATCGATACTGGATGAGTTTTGTGGGTATTTGTGAGTCAAAAAGAACATTTCAGATCTCCACGACATCATCATTCTTCCAGGACAAATAATCTAAAGTTCAATTTCAGATATCTGAACATGAATTCTGACTCTTTCTATATCCAGTTTCAGATATCTAGAGTTTAATTCTAACTTGTCATAAATCTTATTCAGGATATTTTTAAGTCCCTTCAGTTCAACACTGCATTATTTTCATAGATTCTAAATTAAAGTTTGAATTGAATGTTGTAGAACTCTGTAATTGTAGATATCTGATAGATAATAAACTGGTAGAACAAAGTGGACGACAGAATGCTTGTTCTATACAAAAAGTGACATAATAAAAGTAGAACATTTTGTGTTTTTGCTGAGAGATCACATTATAGAACATTGTTCTGTAAAACATTTCCACAGCGATAACAAAGGAAGGATGTTCTCAATGTAACATTAAAGAAATGTTCTCAAGATGTGATTGAGATGTCAGATGATAAATGTTTACATGTGCATTCTGAGAAACTTCTGCAAAGTTCTACTGATGTTTCCACCTGGAAGTTTTCTTTTAGCTCCCAGAATATTTTTCCTAAAGGTAGAATAACTAAAGACGTCTTAAAAATGCTGTGGTAACATTGTTAGACTGTTACGCTCTCGAAACTGAATGTTGCACTGAGAACGTTCTTTCTTCTTTATCATGTAACATTGGGGGAACATTTTATAGATTCTATAATGTGTCCCCAACAACATCCCCAAAACATCTTCAGAACTCTTTAGGGAAGATGAACTGTGTTTGGTAATATATCACAGTGCTGGAACATCTTATAAAGAACGTTTTTTACATCTTGATAACATCTGGAAAGCATTTTTGAATGGTACTCTGAGAACATCCTTCTTGCTGCACTACACAAATGTTTTATAGGAATCATCTCAGGACTCAATAGCATCTCTACAGACAACTTTTGACTTTAACTGAAAATAAAAGAAGAAACTGCTTTTTAAACCTACTGACAGGTTTTGGATTTCAGAGTCTAAGGAATGTCACCACGTCTCAAGACACATTATAAAGCAGATGACGAGTTAAGACTTTCCCTCCATCTCTCAGGTGGACTGGGAAAGCAACGGCGGTCTGGTGAAGAAGCTGCCGTCCATCCGCGAGGACGAGGAGGGCGACGAGGAGCCCAACTCGGTGTCCAGGGCCCCTCGCTCGCCGCTGCACCTCAGCCGGGGCCTCAACTCGCCACTGCGCTCGCCTCTGCTGCCTCCGAGGCCTTTCCGAGCCCCGTCCGACTCACGGCCTTCCACCCTGCAGATCCCAGTGGTCAGCTTCAGCAGCGCACCGCCTGAACTCAGCCCCAGGTAACAGAAGGAGAACAAGCAGCAGCGGAGAGATTACAGGGTTCAAAGCACAGTCGACGCTGCAGCAAAGGTGTCTGGCTGCCATGGCAACCGGTAGATTACAGTGCCAGTCGGTTCACGTGGCTGCTGCAGGATAATGTGTGCTCAGAGATCTATAACACATCGGTACACAGATGTGTGAACAGAAGCTGCTGACGAAGGCGTTTTAAATGTGAAAATACTGTGCAGTAAACGTACACACTGTAATTAGTGCGCTTCTTCCGATTTACATTCCTCTGTCGTGCTCCTTCGTCTCATGTTTAATCCCTCTTTTCTGCACAGATTCGTGGACGGCATCGAAACCGAGAGCAACTCCACAGCCTCGCAGAAGTTTGAGTTCAGCCCCAGTCTGTCACCTGCAGCTCCACCTTCTCCATACCCAGGTAGCACCCACACAGAACCACACGTACTGCTGACATTCACCCACAGAACCACACGTACTGCTGACATTCACCCACAGAACC